TTTGATCGTGAAAATCAGGTAAACTCCCCAGTGGCCCTAAAAATGTCCTCGTTTTCTACTTCCGCTTGGGGACCTGAGGGCACGGAAAATAAATGTTGCAGCAGGGACCGGAGAACGAGGAAAGGGGAGGGCAGCCGAGTCATTTTTGTCGGCCAAAACCCAAGTGCTGGAGCGAGAGAGAGAGAGAGAGAGAGAGAGAGAGAGAGAGAGAGAGACGCCGAATGGGGAACCGGTGGATTGCTGGCATTCGGGCGCATGTGGTCCATTTCCCGGTCCGCCGAAAGGCCATTTCGAGGCTCAGGTTTGGCTCCGTCGAGTCCCCCCCCCCCCCCCCCCCCCCCCGCGACAAAAAGCATAAGGTCCCGTTCTTTATTAAATTACATATGTTCCTGAGGACCACATACATGCTTATGAAGCTGATGGATACGATTTACATGGAATGTGACTAAAAAATCTTAGAGATTTCATTTGAAAGAGGATCGCTTCAAGATGGATTGTCGGCGCGAGACTAAACTATGCAGGCTTGACGATGGCTTGGTGGATACTCTTGCTGTTCGACCTCGGAGCTGGCGATCCCTGGTAATGGGATGTCGGAGCGGACGATCACGCGGGAGTTTTAAAAAGTACTGGTCATTTATATAATTTTTGTGGTTCTGGACACTCTACAATTGGTTTTGAACGTTGAAACCCCATGCCTGATATAGGAGTAGTACATATAGACGACAACGTTCATCCAGATTGCTACTATTGCGCCAATAATCAGCCCTGAATTCGTTCGGTAATCTCTAAAAATTTGCTGGTCAGTCGCATCTAACAATGTTGTACGGGTACTCCACATGCCGATGCGGACGCCGCGGTACCCCATTGCACCATCGTTGTATCCCACGGTATCATCGCGATACCCTCGGCCCCTCATAGTTGTATCCCCTGCCATGATCGTCGTAGCCCATTCCCCTGGTTGTTGTAGCCTATGTAGTCATCGTGCCGGTGGTGATGTCGGTAGCCACGGAAGTGAGAGTTGAGATGGTGGTGCACCCTGTTGCTAGGATTTTTCGCAAAACACGGAGGGGTATACTGATCACGGTGATGCCCAAAAGATTTCTGCAAGGAGTGTCAACGCTTGGAGGGAAGCCTGAAAACAGGACGACTTCAGGGAGTTTAGAGGTCTGAAAAACGGTAATGAATAACTTACAAAAACGATGATAAAGGCTTTCATGTAGCCGGGTTTCTTTGTCATAATGGCTCTGACGGCAAAGCAGCTTCCAAGACAATGACTGCCAGACGAAGGTAAAGCTTAATACAAAATCTTGAATTTTCCCGATAGATTTTTAACATACCCCTGGTTGTCTTAGGGCAATCACCGTAACATCGGGTCGGACGAGGAAGACAAAAATGGCGGAAGCAATGAAAATGATAGAAGCGAGGATCCAGATCGCCGGGCATAGCGTGAACCAGCACTAAAAGTCGGAAGATAGAAAGAAACAAACATTTGAATTACAAATCTTATGAAGTGACAAACGCTTACCTTTGATGAGCAACCGCAAAAATAGCAACACTTATAGTCGTCCGCCTTCACCGGGGATTCTGGCTGCACATTAGGGCGCCACAACCAAACCGGAAATTCCATTTTCGCTAAAATCAAGGTAAATTTTGTTTTGCAGCTCACGAAACGTCAAAAATCGAAAACGAGACAATGCAGGCAAGAATGGTGTTGTTCTTCTGAACCCAAAAAACGCGATAAGGGGCTTGAGCGGAAGGTGGTGTGCCAAGTTTTCGATGACTCAGACGGAATCGTCACCTATTTCACCGAGCTTATCAGTCGCATAATTCATGATTCATGGGTTATTCTATGGTAAATTGGCCAAAATTGAGAATTCGATCGATAAGTTATACATCTTCAAACCGTTCAGGAGTAGGCCATCTTCAAGGGCGAAAAATTTCCAAAATGCTCCAAAAATTCAGTTGTATCAGCCTTAAAAAAAGACGAGACCATATTTCAAGGAATAAGCTATTCTAGATAAGATTTGGAATCCGACGCTGCTTAAGCTTCTTAAGCTCCAGATTTGAAGCTCCTGAAGCTACCAATTCAAAACCACCGAATAAATCGAAGCGCCGACCCAAAATCTCGGGCGTGACAGGAGAAGCAAGTGCGGCCTGGCCAGCCGGCGCCAGAATTTCGAGACCGTCAGAAGAAGAAGAGAGACTGTGGTACCGAAGGAGATTCCGAGGAACCCAAAGATAAACGCCAGACTCAAAAAGACGGGTGAGACATCGGTATTGGCTCTGGCGGTGTGTGTCATGCGGCCCTCTTTTTCCTAGTGCTGACCCTGGTGTTGTTGTTTGGTGCTACCCAAAAGCTAACAAACTCTGCGCCGCGCGTTTCACTGGTGTAGGGTTGCAATGAACTTGGATCCCCTGTTTCATGAGATCCTTAGATTAACTGCAGAAGCTTTGCTATCCAGCTTTATTGCGAATAATACATTCCTCAAATCCCGATTTGGTATCACAAAATATTCAATGAGCATTGAAGACAAGCTAATTTATGTTAGAAAACATTCATCAAGGTTAGAAAATAATCCTCAAACAGAATAATAGCCATTCAAATATTAGGCAAAGAACGTAAGCAAGAGACTACCCAACAAAAAAGAGCAGTCTTATAGTTGCGGAGGTAAGTACATTTATGCTTCTAGAACCTAACGATTCAGTGGAGGGCCCTGCGGCTCGATGGCGGTACCCAAAAAGTGTTAGAAGAAATTTTTATTATAGGTAAGTAACGGTAGAGTATAGCATCTAACAAGCAGTCGTTTTTAGGTGATATTCAGTTTGCTATGGTATCGATATATCTATGAGGGCCGATTCAATACTTGTGTTTGTCATGGTCAATTTGCAATCGGTATTGTAACATTGTTTTCGGGTGCGCGAATAGAGTCGCTTAAAAATACCATTTTGAACCCACTGTCCTGCTCTTGGATGCGGGTCGTCGCCAGGACTCCACCATGTCTGGATTCCGAACTGCCCGCACCAGCTGTCAATTTTCAAATACGATCAACAAGCTTAGAAACTACCGAAGACCTGAAACTTCGCTGGTTATTTCCTCTCTGCCTCACATGCCTTCCAACAGTTCCAAATATCTCCCAAACACCTCTAAATAGTCTGCGATAAGGTAAATTGATTTTCTTATCTGAACTCAACTCCACTTCCTCATTGGAACCCGGGATCGGCCAAAAACCGCTCCGCCTCGATAGGGCGGGTGGGGAACAGCGGACTGGGAATGGGCATTTTTTTGCTGACAGCAAAAAGAGGCCTTACAGTGGAGGGAGGAGCGTTTTGGATCGAGCGTAAGGGATAGAGGCGGGAGAGGAGCAACAGTTGAACTGAGAAGGAAGCGGGAATTGCTCGCTGGGCCTCTCATTTCCCTGGATCCGCCAGTCGATCTGGCAAAGGCCGATTCCGCCCGGCGTTCGTAGTTACGGCTGTATCAAAAGTTGCTTTGTACTGCATGCCCCAATCGGAAGTTTTTCTGGCTTGGCGTGATATCTGGATCTGATCACATTCTCCGTACCGTCCTCCAGTTCAAAAGTTCTATCGAAAATTCTGAGTGCGCAATTTAACGCTGCCAATGCTGCCGCAACCGTAATTGAGCGTGTTCCTCTTTTTTTTCCTTCTCTTTTTTCTTCTTCTCTTAATTCCTAGTTTCTTTCCTAATTCACTAATTTCTAGGGAAATAATGGGAATTCCGACTTGGTTGTGGAAGGCGTCGACGCACCATTCGTTGGCGCCGGTCGAAGCTCCGGAACTATCGATGCTGCTGTACATGCTGTAACTTCTAACTGTAAAGTGTTTTACTCAAGTTGGAGTTTCGATTCGGGACTAAGTGCATTTCGTGCAGAATTTTTCGCTGATTCCGATCTGCTTTCCAAATTTTGCTATGGACTTTTGTTTTAAAAGTTATACAGCAAATTAATGGGAGTGTTTGCACCAAACTCTCAGGAAACCGTAATCGTTTTCGATTTTCCTGATCAATTTCAACCCCCAATTCGACTAGAGATTGGCTGGACACGCATCTTAAAAAACAAAACAAGCTTTTTTATAAAAGATTAGATTTTTTTATGCAAAAAGCAAAAGAAAGATGCAGGACGGGGATCCGAACCGCCGCCCTGCGCCTGGCAAGCGAGTACTTTGTCAATGCACCATGGTGCCAACTCGGAAGGGAGCTGTGAGTGCATTCTTTACGCCCCCTGGGCGAGATGGAACCAAGGAGGGAATAGTGGGCCAGAATTCGAATTTTGGCTTTTTCAGCCTAATTTGCACCAAAATGACTTTTTAAATTAAAGTCCGCAGCAAATTTGGAAAACGGATTCGGAATCAGCAAAAAATTCTGCACAAGATGCACTTAGTCCCGAATCTAAACTCCAACTTGAGTAAAACACTTTACAGACGCTGAGACCGAGTCTTGGGTACTTTCCAATAAGGCCAGGAAACTTACCAGGAACGATTTATTAAATGAATACACATATACAGCTACCTCAAAATAATATAGGCTATTAAAGCAGGATCTGCCTCAGCATTCACGCAGAAATCGAGAACCTCTTACATTTCCAGTGCGGGTTGATTTTCATGATGGTTCTGTGGGCGATCTACACGGTGTTCATGCTCGGGTTTTGACGATCGCCTTCTTGGCCATTCCACCGAAAAGAGTACCCGAAGATCTTCACCTTTCCCCAGGTGCCGCTTTAAAAGGCATAAAATAGGGAAATCTCGCCAATTCTGGGCATCTGCATGACCGTCGGCACCTTTTTTGGAATTCGGGCCATACAGACACAGAAGCCAGCCTGGATGCAACCTTTCCTGATTTCTTGGGTATGTTTATATTTTGTCAGTACTTCTACCCAAAGTCTAGACGACCATGACGCTTATCCATTTAGGACTCTTCACCTACATTTGCTTCTATGAGACTAAAGCGTAACTTTAACCCCTATTCAAAAAATATCGTCATTTAGAGAGGGCCGTATTTTCATCGATCGCAAGGGTAGGATCCACGAAGGATATCCATGGTCAAGTCAGTTTTCTATGAATACCATTAATTCTGCCTCACTTGCAGTGATGATTGTATTCGGACTATTCCTGGCAATCTACCACATTTTCATGACGCTCCTCTTCGTCTCCTACTATCATTATATCCGGTGAGTTTTGTTATTGGCTTTTGCGTTGCAGAAGAAGAAGTTTTGCCGCTTTTTTGACTATCCCCTCATTTAGCGATCGTCAACTGGAGCTGGAGCAGCAGCAAGGCAGAATGCATTCCGTTCAAGCCTACAAATAAGCAAGCGATGTATTGAAGACGTTGATTATGCTACTTAAACTTTTATTTTCTTGTTTACTTTCTATCAGTTTTCGAATGCTTGCCTCGTATTTTGCCTTTTTTGTCTATGCCTCAAGCAATTACGGGACAATGTATCCCTCACAAAAATCGATTCCCTGCCCACCCCTTTGTCTATTTTTTCAGTCGAAATAAATTGGAATTTTTAATCTAAGCACTGGAATCTTGTCGTTCCTCGCCGCATTGATTCTAAAAACAATTTTCAAACAAAACAGTTTTAGACAATTTTGAGTTTAAAACGGAAAGCTCATATTGAGGGGGAATCTCCATGTATTAAAATTCGAATTTTCGCTGGTTCCAATCGGTTTTCAAATTTGCTCACAAGATGCACTTGTTCCCGAATTGAAACTCAAAGTGGAGTAAAAACACTTTACAGTCAGATCTTAAAGGCCGTTTGTGAGGATCCGACCAAGCCCATTAGCTATAACAAAAGTATTTTCGACCCTGTTTTTTGATGCCAGTCTGAAAGAGCATAGTGAATTAGTAGGGTGGCATATTTTAAAAGTTTAAAAAGTTTGAATTTTAGGGGTTAAAATGGGCCTCAAGTTGCGACATTTGAAAAATATCTCGAGAACTACTTGACAGAATCTTCTGTAAGCTTGCATCAATACCTGATTTGGGGTGGGGATCATTTCTCTAATACATCGCGGACCTGAAATGCCCGGAACATAGGTGATTGCGTGACAAAACAGTTTTTCCGTTCTGTCCGGAACTCGGCGATCGGGCGGCTCTGTTGATTACTGTAGAAAGATGCGCAAGCAAGTGCTGCATCGAATGGTGCACAAAACTAGAGCCGCCCGATCCCAAGTCGCGCTATAAAGCATTTACTAGGCAAAATTGGCCCAAAAGGGGCTCCGAAAACTTATAAAATTCAAAATACGGTGTTTTGAGGAACCATATTGCTTCTAGAGACCATGCGGAAGCATTTGCAAAAAGAGCAAAAAAGAAATTTCGTTTCTTTCGATGTCGCGGAATCGAACCTGACCCTCCGCCTGGGAGCCCTGTGGCGCAGTGAGTAGAGCGTCGGCGTGCCAATCCAGAGGTGGCGCCAGTTCAATCCCAGCCCCCTCTCAGAAGCCGAATTTCTTGCTCTTTTTGCAATGGCTTCAGCATGATGACTACATGCAAACTAATGCCTCAGATTTCGTTATTTTGAATTTTATAAGTTTTCGGAGCCCCTTTGGGCCAATTTTTGCCTAGTAAATGCTTTATAGCGCGACCTAGTGATCGGGCGGCTCTAGTTTGATACACCATTCGATGCAGAATTTCTTGCGCATCTTTCTACAGTAATCAACAGAGCCGCCCAATCGCCCAGTTCCGGACAGGACGGAAAAACTGTTTTGTGTACGCAATACACCTATGTTCTGGGCATTTTCGAGCTTCGCGATGAATTAGAGAAATGATCCCCACCCCAAATTAGGCATTGATACAAATTTTCAGAAGATTCTGTCAAGTAGTTCTCGAGATATTTTTTCGGTGTCGGCAACTCGAGGCCCATTTTAACCCCAAAATTAAACTTTTTAAACTTTAAAAAATATGCCACCCTACTAATTCAATTATGCTCTTTCAGATGGCATCAAAAAAACAGGGTCGAAAAAAACTGTGCCAAGCCTTGTTCGCGTCTGTCGCAAACGGCCTTTTAACTGCTCCACAAAACATGTTGCCGTTTCGGCTGGGTGAACGAACGTGTGGAGAGGCAGCGTCCCGGCCATTTCCCACTCGACCAAAAAGCAATAGTCCTGAGCAGCGAAAAGCGTGTGTTAGAGATAGAGAAGATACATGTGGGACTCAGAAGAGAACGAGATATCGTTTCTCTCGACCTCCCCGCTTGCCCCCAGCGAACCCCCACAAAGGGCAGTCGAACTCCCCCCTTTAGTCACGCCCGCCCTGTTCACATGCCCAAATATTAGCCCAGACATGAGTTTGCGGCATCGATTTGCCATTTTATTCTGCTTTCGTGATTGATGCCGGCCGAAACGGAAACATTTGCTACATATTTACGCGGTCTCACCACCACCAAACTGTCCTATCCGTAATTTTTACAGGAACTTTCGTAGTTTCTAGCTGTAACGGGCGATTTTCGAGACTCGTTTTGATGCAGGAAAGTGATTGGGCTTCCAACGGTGGTTATGGAAGGCGTCGACGCACCATCCGCTGGCTCCTGTTGAGGCCAGGAATTATGGATGCTGCTGTACTTGCTGCACTTCTAAGGTGAGGAACTGTTAGCAAAATCGTTAGAAAGGATGAAAAGGATATATGTTGATTTTCGAAAATCCAACACTCTCCGAAGGGCAAGGGTTAGACCTATGACATCTTTTCCTCTTTATCGACCTTTATCAGGATCGAGATCAACTCACAAGTCCCTGTAGACCTCAAAACTGGGAAGGAAGCCTGCGATTAAGCGGCTTAAACTACCCTCCAAATACCCCTTTCCAGTGCGGTTTCTGTGATGATGATCTTGTGGGCGATCTACACAATCCTTATGCTGGGCGTGTTGATCATCGCCTTCCTGGCCGTCCCGTCGTCCGAATACCCTAAATTTGTGTTTAGGTTTGAGGTAGAAATTGGCTAATTAAATTTCATTTGAGTTTCGAGGTTCGATTTTTTTAATTGAGTACAGTGACCGAGATATAGTAGCGCTAAATTCGGTTTATCTCTTCGAAAAGGAAGATCGGCAAGACGGATTTCTATAAAAATCCGTGTTGTTTTTAGTTCTCGGCTTCTCTTGTGCTTCCGTCGGCACCATTTTTGGTATCCGTGCCCTGCAGACGCAAAAACCGGCTTGGATGCAACTCTTCCTGATCGCTTGGGTATGTTTGATGGTTTTCCTTCTACACTTTGCTCGAAACATTAGTTTTAGGCGCTGATTACATTGATCCACTCAGCGCTCTTCATTTACATCTGCATCTACGAGACAAAGGGGTAATTTAACAACTCTTTGCTTGATAACTGAATATGGTTTAGGACCGGCGGGTATTTCCCGGATCGCAAGGGGCATCTTAAGCAGGGATATCCTTGGCCAGGTGCGGTAACTGGTAAAGTTAACGAGTTATTGCAGTGACGATCGCCTTCGGAATCTTGCTCTTAATCTATCACGTATTTATGACCCTTCTCTTCATTTCTTACTACCATTTTATCCGGTAATTTTTATTCATAATTATCCGGGTCGTTAGATTTATAATCTAAACTATAAATCTAAAATCTAAATTCATTTGTATTTTTTATTCTTAGGGATCGCCAGCTGGAGCTGGAGCAGCAGCAGGGAAGGATGCAGTCGATCCAAACGTATAGATAAGGATGAAAAATGTCACTGGCTGGGCTTAATCGTATTGACAATAAAGTAATCAATTTAAAGTATGATATGATCAATTTAAAAGACGCTTAAGCGCAGAAGATCACGAACTAAAATGTTACTAACAAATCTTCTCGGATCTGGATTTTCGTAATCTCCAATCTGGAGCAGTTTGCCTGCAGCGCCCAAACGTGTAATTCCCCGAGAATTTTTCAATTGGCTCAGCTTATGTAGATTTCAAGATTTTGGAATTCGAATTATGGTTATAGCTAGGCTAAATTTCGAGGTGGCAGGATGACGCTTTCGTTGAAAAATCCAGCGAAACTCCCAAATCTCCCAAATTCTGCAGGGTCTGCAACTTGTTTTCTCCCCGCCATCATCTTACCACATCCGGATTATTTCGAAAACGTGTATTGCCGTCTGGACCGGATGGACGTGTGGGGGGGCGGGAGGTGGCCTGGGCAATTTTCCTGTGGCACCAAAAAATGCAATAGGCGGAGCAGTGAGGGGCAAGGGTCTATGAGAGAGTGTGTAAGGGATAGAAAAGATACATCAGCGACCCAGAAGGGAAGGAGCTATCGCTTCTTTCGACCTCTCCACACCACATTTCCTGGTGCTCCGTGCGAACCCCCACAAAGGCCAGCTGAACTGGTGTTTAGTCACGTTTTTGGGAACTTTGAATACAAAGTAAGTGCGTACTCCAGACATGCGCATGCGAATTTTCAACGGTTAATTCGGTTCTGCTGTTATCCCCTGATAGCGCCGGCTAATTCCATTGGAGACGTTCGCAAATTATTTGCGGAGCCTCACCACCACCGCCATGTTCCTACCCGCTACGTTTTGAAGAAATTTTTTCTAGACGTAGAAATTATTACGGCATTTTAGCCCGGATATTGGGACTCCCGACCTGGTTGTGAAAGCGTCGACACACCATCCGTTGGCGCCGGTCGAGGCAAGGAATTATGGATGCTGGTGCACTTGCCGCACTTCGCAAGTGAGCAAGGAATTTCGTGATTGATAAAAAGTTTTCTTTCGCCTCTTTTTTTCAAAGAATATGAAGTATATACAGGGTGTCCCTAAAAAGCATTCCTCCGTCATTTCGCTGCATTACATCCCAACATTCCCAAAATTGGACTGGGGGTGTATCAGACCCTAAATAACCACAATCCTGAGTTATAGTCTGATTGCTACAGTAGTTTTCGAGTTATCGTCAAAATACTGTTTTTTACGCGGTTCTTAACGGTTTTTTGGCTATCTTTTTGGACTTTGCATCGATTTGCATTGACTCTCCGGCTACGAATCTCGAATTTCGCTTAATATCGGTGGTGAGACTTTGCGTTACAAAAAATTGTTGAAATCAACGGTTATTTTTGTAATTTTTATCAGAAAAATTTCTAGGGGTAAAGCAGGCTTAAGCCGCTTCATTTTCATTTAATATTCGAAGAGTTGATTCCGACGAAAACCATATGAAAAACGGAGAATAAAGTATATTTTTGTTGTATCTCGAAGATTACTGTAGCTGGCGGGCTATAAGTCAGGATTGTGGTTATTTAGGGTCTGATACACCTCTGGTACAAATTTCGATCCGATCGGATGTAATACGGCGAAATGCAGGAGGGGTGCTTTTTTATGGGACACCCTGTATAAACGCTAATAGATGCAAATTTTATATCGACTCGGTTGCAATTTCGGCGCGAACTAAAAACGAAACCTAAGCCCTTAGGGAACGGCTGCTGGTAGTATTCACGGATTATCATTCGGCATCTGAACATTTCCAGTGCGGCTTCATTATTATGATAATACCGTGGAGCATCTATACCGTCTTCATGCTCACCGCCCTCACATTTGCGGTCCTCGCCGATCCACCCTGCCGATTACTATGCAAATATCGTGACTGAGGCTTGGAGGTAAGTGTAATTCTTTTACTTACAGTGTTCTTGAATTATTAGGAAACTCCACCTCGTGGTTCGGTTATCTTGTGCAAAACTTTGGGTTCTTTCCAATATTGTTGTCAACTTTCAAAATGAGCACGGTTTCAGCATTTTAATGGTATTTTTCCTCGAAACCGGCTGGAAATGGCTGCACTTCGGTCCTGCCCCGGGAGTGCCTCTGTCCCAAGCACTGGTGCAAGGGTCACTCATGAACCCTGGACGTATGGTTGAACTAAAAAAGGTTTTTTCGGGACCACATGGCTTTTGAAATGCAGCCTTGGGAAATTATTCAAAATGGCAAATTTTGATTTATCGATTTGCGAGATCCCGTGCAATTGACAGAAAAATATTTCCCGTCCTATGATGGCTATAGCCCCAACCGCTGGGACCGCAAAAAATTATGCACAAGATAGAGTTGGTCAAAAATGACATTTTTTTAACCTATTTGCAAAAATTTTCAGTTAACGCTGGTTACGAACGTAATGCATGCTCGTTTGTGGCATTAAAATCTCACTGTTTAGTCCTAGCAATTTTGTCCTTTCTGATTATGGCGGGTTGCTCCAACGGATTAGTTTCCTCAAATCGTGGCTTCTTTGAATAGACGGAAAACACATTGTTATTCTTTCAGTTCTGGGCTTTATTCTGCGCAATCATCGACACCTTTTTCGGAATACGTGCTATTCAGACGCAGAAACCGGCGTGGATGCAGCTCTTCCTAATTGTTTGCAGGTTCGTTTTAAAGGGGCCATTCTTTGATAATTTCCTGACGTCAAGCTTTAGACGCTAATAACCGTGATCCACACGGCGCTGCTCATCTACATCTGCATCTACGAGAGAAGTGGGTAATAAAACTTGAAATATGACAGCTACAGTAATCTAGAGTGGTAGAATTTTCCCGGATCACCTGGGACATCTGAAGGACGGGTATGCTTGGCCAGGTGGTCTACAATTTATAAGCGATTCTTAATTGAGTTTACGCGGCTGGGTCCACAAATTAAATTAAACGTAAAATAACCTTGTAATTAAAGTAAATTTTGGCTTA